GGGGTCCTTTTTTTTTTTTTTTTTTTTTTACCTATTTTAGAATTTTGATATTTGTGCTAAGCTGCCCTTTAGAAAACTTTTACTTTCCTAACAGCGTCCATATCCCTTCACTTCACCGCACCATCTCCAGAAGCAGGTATTTCACTGCTGTTTTTAAAAACAGTTTGAGAGAAGGGAGTGATGCCTCATTCCTATTTGAACTTACACGTCTTTGTCTATCCGTATGTAGAAGTGCTGGTTTCCTCCACCAAGGGCTGTTTATGCTTCTCTGTGACTTAATTTTTTCACTTTATTTGCCCCACTTTCTATTGCTAAGCTTACAGAACTTTTTCTTACTGTCTGACACAAACTTTATTCTTTAAACCATAACAATATTTGCCCACTGTCTGTCCTTTATGTTGCCAATTGTCCTCCAGTTCAATGTTTCCCTTTTTATTTTACCTATGTTTATACATTAATGCATATTTTAAATTTTGTATATTTGTATACAGTGATATTTTTGTTTATCCACAGTTATGTATCTACTTTAGAAAGATGTGCCAAAATATGACACATTCCACAATTATTCCAGCATATTTTATGTATTGCTGATATTTAGATCTATGCCATATGTTATTTATGTGGCTGTATAACATGTAAGCAAATATTTTTGAATTAATATAGTTTTTTAATTAAAGCAACTCATAATGGTGAGGCATGGAGAGCTGTATCAAAAAAACATCAATTGCCCGGCCGGGCGTGGCTCAGCAGTTGAGCGTCGACCTGGGATCCAGGCGATCAGGGTTCGATTCCCGGTCAGGGCACATGCCCTGGTTGCGGGCTGCAGCCGATCAATGACTCTCTCATCATTCATGTTTCTACCTCTCTCTCTCCCCCTCCTTTCCTCTCTCTGAAATCAATAAAGACATTTAAAAAAAAAAACATAAAAAAAAACATCAATTTACATTTTNTTAAAAAAAAAAAAAAAACATAAAAAAAAAACACATCAATTTACATTTTAGTCTATGTTATGATTGGTAACCTTGCTTCCTCTAGTATGTAATATTTTCTTTCCTTGGTGAATTACATAATAAATACAATGACTTTTGATCTTAGAATTCAGCCCAAACTTGTAAACATGTTTGGCCTTGCTTTTTCTAATAGGAAAACTAAATAATACTGTTGCAAGTTGAGTATTACCAATATTTTTTGATGTATATATTCGCAGAGTGCTACTGAACTCTGTGCGCTTCCACATTAATTATCAGATTATAACCTCTACACATTTTTCCACTTAGGATCCATCAAATTTAGTTAATTGAGGTGACACATCAATTTTATTTGTGTATTACAAAATTAGGAATTTGCACTATCCAGGGTAGAATGCAAACTATGTGCACAAGAGGCAGATGGCAGGTCCAACGATGTCCCAGACAGGAAAAGATAACATCCAACTAAACAACAAAAGGAAAAAAACACTCTACGAGGAGAGAATTGGGCCTCTTAGAATATGGGTTAGAGTAGATCATTTAGTAAGCAAACGAGGAAGTGTGTGGGGAGTGAGGAAAGGATACCAGCCGAAACTGAACATCTCCTGAAGTGAGTCACACCCTTGAACTTCTCTGAATGAGTGTGCTAGCACCTTCAGGGGAACAGCCGACTTACCCATCTGGTGCCATCAGTGCCGGCGTGTTTACTGAAGGAACAAGCGCGAGGATGGAGGAATACAAAGAGAATCGACATGAAAACTTGCTGATGACTCGGCTAATAAAACCGTAGCAGGTACTCAGCTTTAAGGTCAAGCTGATGTTGGGGTGAATATTTTTCTTATATTGCCTACAGTTTTATCTTTCCACGTATCTTAACCTACCACATTTAGGAATAAAAATACATTAACAAATAATGATATATTGATTAATATATTTAAGTAATACATTGAGTAGCATATATAGGTGGACATTTGGATTATCCATCACATTAAATGAATGTTTTAGTTTTCTACTGCTGATTAACAAATTACTACAAGCTTACTGGCTTAAAACAAAACCCATTTATTATATCACAGTTGTGTAGGTCAGAGGTCTGGGTTGGGTGAGTTCTCTCCTTAGGGTCTCAAAAGGTTAAAATCAAGGATTTTGGAAGCAAAGAATCATAGATTGGGCTCTTAACTGGAGCATGAGGCATCTCCCAAGCTCACTCAGGTTATTGGAAGAATTCAGTCCCTTGGGGTTGTAGGACTGAGGTTCCTGGTTTCTTACTGTCAACTGGGGGCCATTCTCAGCTCCTAGAGGCCACCCACCATTCTCTGCCAAATGGCCTTCTTTATCACATGGCAGTGGGATCCTTAAAGGCTTTACACCTTTTAAAAGGGCATAAAAATTATTACCAATATTTTTTGTATATAGTTAGACCAACCAGGAAAGTCTCCTTTTTGGTTAATTCAAAAATCAAGTGATTAGGGGTCTTAACTACTTATACAATAGCCTTTTTGCCATATAATATAACATGATCATGGAGTAATACCCCATGATATTCACAGGTTTTTCTTGCATTCAAGGGGAGGGATATATATATACATAGCTTGTACACCGGGATTGAAAATATTGGGGTCATCACAAAATGCCTCCTATCATAGCCCACCCCCTGGCCCCCAATGCTTCATCTCCATCACAGATGCAAAATACATCCACCCTTTCTCAAGGCTCACAAGAGTGTTACCCCATTACAACATCAACTCTTAAGTCCAAAATCTCATCTTTTTTGTTTTTTTAAATATATCTTTATTGATTTCAGAGAGAGGAAAGGAGAAGGAGAGAGAGATAGAAACATCAATGATGAGAGAGCCATTGATCAGCTGCAGCCTGCAACCCGGGCATGCGCCCTGACCGGGAATCAAATCCTGATCGCCTGGATCCTAGGTCGACGCTTAACTGCTAAGCCACGCCCGGCTGGGCCAGAATCTTATCTTAATCTTACCAGCTCAAAATCCAAACTGTCACCATCTCAATCATCCAAATATGGTGTAAGTGAGGCTCCTGAGAGCAGACCTTGCCAGAGCCTGACCTTCAGTCTCTGGGGTACAGTTCCTCTCCATGTGTACACTCACGAATCCAAAGAAACAAGCTACCTGCCCAATGCCCAACACACAGCAGTGGGCAGGCCTAAGGCGACAGGCATAGAGATTCGGGCTCATAAGAAAGGGAATGGAGATACCCGCGGAGACCGCCGCTGGGATACTCATGGTCTAGTGAGAGCGATCATCCATCCGTCGCACAGGGGCATAAAGTACAGGGTGATTTCTCCCCATGAGGTTAGTCATCCAAAGTCCTGACTCTTCTGGGTTAGTCATTAAAAGTCCACCCACCTGAATGACTTCTGGCAATAATGTAATTACATGCATGGAAACTTTTACCTTTTACTCAAATAGAAACATTTCTAGTAATATATACAGTATGATGTCATTCACCATTTCTTATATAAGAAACTTTTAAAGATCACTGATCTTCATCAATCTTAGAGTTGAAAGGGACCTACAGTCTGAATTTCTTCAAGAAAATGACAAGAATTTCTTTTGTTTGGTTTTTTTTTAGGGGGGGGTTGGCCAAATACCTTGCTGAAATAAAGATGGACTACTTCTAGCATTTTGACCAACTGCCAAAATAAAGACATAGATGGAACTTGCTGTTTAAATCCGCGATAATGCCGGGCAAGTCATTTAACACTCTCCATGACGGTGTCGGGATTTAGAAAGGCCGCGTGGCATTCAGCGCGTCTGCAGTCCTAGCAGTCTCCAGCTGGGCGTCTGGAGAGGAACTTAAGACGCAAACGTGTACTCACTGGATGAGAGAACTGTCTGATGGATTTAGCATTTATGAACTGAAACAATACTGGCTGCTGTGCCTATCACTGAGAAATCTTTGGCATTTCAGATATATTTAAAAATGTATAGCTTCAAATTACAAGGTGCCCATTTGTTTTAGGTAAACTTCTGAGGATTACTTTCTATTTGCATTCATTTATTAAATATGAATTATTCAGGGTTTCCAAAGAACACCCCAAACAGATATCTATTGGTATGACTCAATATTTGTTAGAACAGCAGCTTTCTAAAATTGCTGTGCCTTGCCCTAAGCCTGGGCATCACCCGTTGTGCCATTTTAAATATTTTCTGAAACATTCTCTGTTGACTCCCTTCCCAAGCAGTTCTCCCTCTTTGCCTACTTGAAGGGAAACTCCGCAGGCACGGACCTATTCGAAATAAACGGGACTGCAAGAGAAGCTCACCGACGAGACCCACCAAATATTCCTATGTCGTCTTTCAAGGCTGACACTCGAACTCCCTCAGAAGCTGCTGTGTCAGTGTCATAAGCTTTGTAAGAGCCCATCCAACGACGGGGCTCATCGCTTCCCGGGCGAACACCGGGGACTGTCCCGGCAAGGCCACGGCGCCCGTGCAGACGCGTCCCCAGAGCGTCCCACGGAACTCCCCTGCCCCTGGCTCCCCGGGAAGGAAGGGGCTCCCCCGCCCCCGAGGCCGGCCGGGCGCACCCTGCGGCCGGGGCTTACGTTCGTGGAAGGAGGTGAAGAGCATCTGGAAGCGGCTGCCGCGGCTGCCCTCGTCGGCCCACATGCGCACCACCCCCAGGCCCGTGCGCAGCATCACGTCGTTGGCCACGGTGCTGCAGAACTTGGCCTTCAGGTCCTCCACGGCGCTGCCGCCGTCGTAGACGGCCACGAAGTTCCTCTTGCACTCGTTCGAGTTCTGCATCTCGTAGTCCAAGAAGCGCAAGTAGATCTGCAACAGAGAAGGAAGGGAAACGCGCCCGGATCAGACGAAAGGGGCGCGGGACGTGCCCGGCCCCCCTCCCCCGGCTCACAGGATGGTCCTGACGGCAACTTATTACCCCCCGGGCGGCGGGGGAAGTTCGCGTTGTGTTCCACGTTTTTCCAATGCTATCGCCCTTTCTTTATGTAAACGTCCCATTTCCCATGGCTGAGGATTTTTATCCAAAATGATCCCACTTCTCATAACTCGTCTGGAAGGGCTGATGCTGTTCCATTCGGACCAGCACAAGTGTGTTCTGGAGACTCCCGATGCGATCCTGCTCAAGCCCCACGGATTCCGCTTACTTCCGAAGTGTGTGGATATAAATGATGTGCATTAATACAGAGGAAAACAGAGGAGCACCAAAAGGTCGTCTCTGACTTCGCTTTGTTGAAAGTATTTCACTTTTGAGGTAGAATATGTATTATATATGTGTGTGTGTGTATGTGTATATATACACATATATATATGCCAGCTAACCTATAATTATTTTCACCATAATATAGAGAAAAGTCATTTAGCTAAGTCCACATAAATACAAATTAAATTAACATTTGATGAGTACAAACTATTGTGCAACCTACTTTATAGGTTATTTTTAAAGACTCCCAACAACTCCATAAAGTTTTATTGTCATATTCAAATGAAAAAACTCAGACGATATAAATTGGAAAGTAGACATGAGGTCCCTCCCGCTCCTTGGTCTATAACCCTCCACACGCTCACACGCTTCACACATACTTTTAATGTCCACAGTTAAGATTTGACTCTGTTCCAATGCACGTTAAACACTACAAGCAATTCACTCAACCAACGGCAAATGTAAAAAGAAGCCATTTGCCCATGTTCCCATGAAGTCAGCAATATCTACCCCCGGCCCCTACTTGGCCTCGGACACTATTCAAGGCACTTGAAAACACAAGAACAAGGGCAGGGATGGAAATGTGTGCCCATTAAATCACGACANGAAAACACAAGAACAAGGGCAGGGATGGAAATGTGTGCCCACTAAATCATGACACTAAGACGTGAGTCAAACTGAGGAAGCTCAGGCCCCAGGAGAAGGGCGTTGGGCAGGTTCTCGAATCAGGAAGGCGCCTTCCACACAGATGTCTCCGCAGCGNACTAAGACGTGAGTCAAACTGAGGAAGCTCAGGCCCCAGGAGAAGGGCGTCTGGGCAGGTTCTGGAATCAGGAAGGCGCCTTCCACACAGATGTCTCCACAGCATGAGACCTTTTTTGAAACGTGAACGACTGTATGCTACTCCCTCCTACATGTCCTCTTACTGACATAGCACATACACGCTAAAGACGGGGACCCAATTAAAAATTCAACTCTTTCATCACCTGTATTCCTTTTATTTTGTTTGCTTCACTATCTGTGAATCTTATAAGACAATTTTTTCCCAGCCCCAGAATGCCTGCCCCGCATTGATAAGTTTTATTATTTCAGTTAAAACAAATTTCCCTTTTCCCCTCAGTGTTCTCATTGAATGGGGCATTAATTCTTATCAATTTCACCCTCAGAATAGTGGTTTTCCACCTCCACTGACATTTCTGTGATATTTCAAGTTTCCCAAATGTCCTGGGTGTTTTTCCAGTCCCCCCCCCCCATGCCTTTCCCTGTCAAAGTTATTTTTCTAAAGAATAAACCTAATATCATACTAAAATCTTCAACTGGCTTCCAAATGGTTAAAATAAAAAAAGTTTAAAAGCCATAAACTGGCAAATTTCCCTTCTTATGTTTGAACAGCACAGTTCACGTACATGACATAAGTTCTACAAAAAGTAAGCATTTTCCATTCTCTGTCTACCAACTTCTTATGAATTTTCAGGGTCTAGTTCAATGGTCGATTGGAAATTCTGTTTCTCTTTATTCACTTTATTTGCTCAACACCTACCACATACATGTTAATTGGGCACCTATATGCCAGTGTTGCAAGTGCTGCATATAATGCTAATTATAGAGAACCAAGGAAAATTTTATCATTTTTATGCAATAATTCTCAAAAGAATGTTTATAATGTAACTCTAAACTATGACATAAAAGCAAAAGACAGCATGTCATAGAATTATGAGGAACACTTGTCATAACCATGTTAAAATGAGAAAAGCAAGGTTTAGAAAAACTAAGTAACTTTCTCAAAGGGACACAGGCCCCTAGGAGTGGAACTGAACTCAGCTCATCCTGAAAATGTGCCCCTTAGTATCACAGGGCACAGCCTCACATACATTTTTAAAAATTCTCACAGACTTTTATTCCATACAGGAAGTTAAAATATAAACAAGCAAAGCCATCTCCCTTTTCCTGAAGGGGTGAAGGAACATTGAGGATGGAGACGTAAACGAGGCACATAGAAAATAAACATGTCCCTCTGAAATCTACGGCTGTCTTCCATTTGCTCAAGAGATAATGTGATTTTCGAGAAAATTGCTAGTTAGAAAGGCAGCCTGCACATCTGACCCACATTTTCTCAGGTGGCAGTTCTAGAGAGGGCCCAGATTTTCCTAGAAGGTGATTGATTTGCATCTTTCCGTGACCTGCAATGACCGAGGTCTCAGTACCTCCTGCAGTGAAAGGCCATTCTTATGAGACAGAACCCTCTTTACAGGGGAAGTGAGTAATCACAGTCACGAGATTTTACTATTCAAAGCATTCAATTATTTTTTAAAATATATTTTTGTTGATTTCAGAGAGAGGAAGGGAGAGGGAGAGGGAGAGAGAGAAACATCAGTGATGAGAGTCACTGACCGGCTGCCTCCTGCATGCCCCCCACTGGGGATCGAGCCCACAACCCAGGCCTGTGCCCTGCCTGGGAATCGAACCGCGATCTCCTGGATCCTAGGTTGATGCTCAACCACTGAGCCGTGCTGGCCTGGCTTCAATTATTTTTTTTAAACTTATTTTTTACCCATCAAGAAAAGAAAGAAAACATGCCAGTGGGTATTTAGCTCCACTGGGTATGGGGCTGTTACTGCAAATGCCATTAACCAAAGCAGAGGCCCAGCGTCCCCACACTCACTCGGGCAGACCTCATACACAAGCCCCCCATGCATTATGATTCAAATAATATTCCGCAGCTTAAAGCTCGTGACGTAACATCAGCAAGGGGAAGGGAGCCAAAGGACAATGCTTTCGCTCAGGGGAGAAGACCTCAGAGAGCTGCTCAGTCTCTGCTGAATAAAAGATGAAACGTTCGACAGAACCGCGTAAAACTCCAGTATCGTAGTCTGATTACAGTCTCCTCCCGGTGAATCGTCTGGGTGCATTCTTCTTTCTAATCAATCACAGAGTTCGGGCTGACAAAATGATTTATTAAACGGGACTTGGGGAGCTTCGGAACACATAGCAATTCCTAGCAATATCTGTCTTCCCATCACACTAATAAGGAGAGCGGGATCCCCTCTGTATACTCACAGCACGTAAACCTGGCTAACGACTTGCTAAGGAATCCATTCACGAACGTTTAGGGCTGACCATTCGACCGGGCCCCTCCCTTCACATCACAGTGACAGGCACAAAACACATGTTGCTTGGGGCAGTTACTGAAGACTCCCTGGAAAGGTTGTCTCCACGATAAATACAAATTAAGTATGCCACAGCCTGAGAAACACTGCCCACGGATTCAAAACTTTGTACTTTGATAAATAAAGCCACGTTCTAAAAACTGTGTAGCCAGGACTTGTGCAGTTGCTGTTTGATTTGAGACTGGACATGCCAGGCCTTATTGTTTCCAGTGGGACACCCCACAAATTTGGGGGGGGCAGCAGCATCCAGAAGAAAACCAGAACATCAACCTCTGTTCTGGAACATTGAGAAAGCACACACTCTACAACAAATCCTATAGGACAATATTAAAATGATTTTCTGATCCACACAGACAAATACCAAACATTTAAAAAGCCCATCTGGGTAGCTTCCCAAAATCCGACAGCGGAAAACGGAGGTATCATTTGAAAACAGTTGAATCGTGTGACATTCTCATTGGTAGTTACCGAGGCAGTGACATTTTTCATTTTGTTTACCCCATTTTCGTTTCTCTTTTCCAAGACGATAAGGGCAAACTCAGTCCCTAGGACCCCAAAGCGCATCGCTGTGATCCATTACAGTTTCTACCCTGTCTATTGAATTAGTCTTCTCCTTGCTCTGCAGCAAATGCCCACACATAGAGCAGCCTGACACACTCCCATCCGTCATCTCTGTAGGTTAACACGCTGTCGGCTGGACGCTGGTCTCCGTTAAGGGCGCACAGGGAGGCAGGAAACCCAGGTCTCTGCAGCCCCCGTTTTCTTGAGCGTTTGCCGGGGACCCTCTTATCGTCTGGAAAACAGTCTTAGCTCTTCAGGCTCTCTGACTGCTCCTTCGCTCTCGGCAGAGAAAACTCTGATTCTTTAAAAAGCTCATGCGATCACATTAGGCTCACCTGGATAAACTCTCTTTTAATTAACTCAGGGTGAACCGATTGGGAACCTTAATTGCATCAGCGAAATCCCTTTTGCCAGGAATTTAACATAATCAAGTGTGTGATATTTTATCTTCCTCACCGTCTTGGGGACTGGGCTGGAAATCTCAGGGGTCATCTTTAAGATTCTGCCTACAACAATTAAGTTCAACACATAATTAACTTTAACACAACCTCGCTGTGAAATACTGACTTACTGTATTTGTCAAGTTTTCTCTTTATTTTATATTTTACTCAAAACATTTTTGAAATAGGGAACAACATATTCAACACTACTGTGAAGTTTAAAATGATGGGTAAATTACTAAAAGCTAGAGTTATATTCTCCCAAGACCTAAAGTCATTAAATTATCCCCATTTGTGCATTTTTATAAGTCTTTGACTAAACTCTTTCCCTGACTTAACAAATTTGACAATTTCTCCGAATAGTGTGGTTTGTGGACTGGACTGGCACTGGGGAGGTGAAGATCTGGCTTCGGCACTGTTACTAACTAAGCAAATATTTAGGCAGGCATTCATTCCAGACTCATACAGTTTTGGTCTTGGAAGGAGCTGAATCTTATCTGGGCCAAAAATTTACTTGACTTTTTAATTATTACACAAAATCCCTGCCAAACGCTACTTGGAGTCCTCCTATGGAATCTCATTTGATCTCTGGGCAGCTCCATTATTCAAACAAAAACCAAAAACTGTATCTGTACTGAATCAAAAGCTGTATTTCTCTGGTTTTGAGCATTCAAACCCATTGCAGTATCTAAAACCAAGCAGATTAGCCTAATCCTCTCATTCCTGTCCTCTGACGGTCTTTGGAAAGTTGGAAGATTGACCCCAAGTCCATTTCTCTAGACAGACATCAGTCTACTTTCTCCATGAGTTTTAACTGGGTGACAAAACATTTTGCTGGCACTGATGAGCATTCAAGTAGTCACCATGACTTGATCACCCAACGGTCCCTTCTGGGCCAGAACCAGGACTAGACCGCGTGATACCCACCCATCACCTTCCTCTAGAACCTACATGGATACCGAAGAGCTGCTTAGAGGCCCTTCCCTGCGTCCCGCTGTTGACCCAGAGAAAACCTCATCATCCGGACTCAGCCCACTCACCTGTCCGAGGAGCGAAGGAGCAATGGGCTTCCAGAGCTCCCCGACCAGCCTTCCAAATTCTAAGAAACTGGATCAGTCACATTCTAATGAGAGGGGACCATCTGTTGTTACTGTTCTCACACAAAGCCGGTATCCGATATTGTATTTTCTACTTGTCCAAAGGCTGGGAAGCAACATATATGCTTGACATACATTTTAATAGAACCCAAATAAGCAGTATGTTTTGATCCCCAGTTACCAATGAAACATTCACCAGGCGCCAGTTCAAGTTCAATTTGTGCTTTGGTTATCTTTTCTCATAAGCTGCTAGGAACTGCATAGAAATAGGGAGCCCGCATATGCAGTTACCACCAGTTCTGGTTTTTCTCCACTTATTCAAAGCCACTCCCTATCCTGTAACCTTTAATATAACAGAGAAAGCCTGTCATGATCGAGCCATCTTTGTCTGGCTCTGCAGGTGGCTTCCCCTTTGGGTCACAGAATGTCAAATTCTGTAAACAGACAGGTACACAGGGTATTGTTGTTCTGAGATTGGACAAAAGACAGTCTATTTACCAGCTGGCAGAAAGCAGTGTGTGTTTACAGTCCATAAAAACCCCTCTGTAACAGTGACAGTGACAAAGATGCTGGCTGTGACAATAAAGGGGGAATCATATGTGTCCAGCTGGAAAAAAAAACACAACTTTAAAAAATCTTTCATTCATCAAGTTTAAGAAAAACGAATAGCATGTGCCTATGAAACAACAGATTACGTCAAAGAGCCTAAGACAGAGCAACTCAGCTCCTTTAAAATCGGTGAGGTGGGTTGAGTTTTATGGCACCAATAGCCTGTTTTTATTGTTTTGTTTTATGGCACCAATAATTTTTGTTTTTGTCTTTTTGTTGGTTGGTTGGTTGGTTTGGTTTGAAGGAGGGATCACTGCCTTTCTTTGCTATGCAATTAATATTTTCAAAGATTTGTTCCGATGCAAGACGACCGGCAAATGCAAAAGCCAGGAGGTGGCCCACGGGCCCTGAATCTCCACACTGGCAGTTTGGGGAAAGGCTACACACTTCCAAATTATATGCAGACCCCGGAGACCTAGGAGGGGACATCAAGAGAAGAAAGACAAAGTTTTTCCTGAAACGCCGACTCCCTCAAAGGTGACTCTTACTTCCCCGGCCTGAACACCCCCCACCAGATGCGGCTGTACCTAGAGAGCCCTTCCCTTCACCTGTCTGCCGTCACAGCTAGTCTCCGCCACCGGGGTGACCTCCAGGGCTTCCTAGAGGAGCTTCTGCTTGCGGTGTTGGCCCCTCTTCCCTAGTTCACAGGGAAAACTATTTCCCAGAACACAGATCTGATCACATCCCTTTCCTGCCGCACACACTTCCCTGGGTGGCTAATGCTCTCGGCCCTGCTCGCCTCGGGCCCCCAGCCTTCCCCCAGGCCTATTTTATATGTGAGACATCCGTGGTTTTGTAGGCCCTGGACAATTTCTTCCCTTGAAATGATTTTAGGTTAAAAAAAGCATAAGTGTAGTTAGTTATACTTAGAACCATTGCTATGGATAACATTTCCACCCATTTTTCAGAGGAGTGGAGCTACGGTAGAGTCTCTTGTTCAGGGTCTCAAAGGATCTCAGCAACATCTCCGTATTATCTATGAACGAAAGTTACACTGGACAGGGGTGGACAAGTTGCACTTCAAAACCCAAACACAATGACCGCATGTGGGGGCACACTGAGCACGCCCCGCTCGCCAGAAGCTACGCGGGCTGCAGACTCTCCCCACGTGGACCTTCAAGTCTAGGTTTGACCTTGAGACTGACCTTGGACCGTGGCGGTGCTCGGATGTACCACTTGCAATCAACGGCCTCGCTAGCAGAAGCTTTGCCTTCCTTCATAATTTGTACAGATTCCACAATTCCTTCAGGACCGCCCATCTCAAACTCACACACTAAATAACAAAATGCCAAAGAAACACAAGAAGGGAGCTTGAATGATACACCAAAAGTATATTTCACAGCACAAAACAAAGGCCTCTGAACAGTATTAAATATCTACGTTACCAACCTGGTAATGGTTTCAAAACGCCAAGGTCCTTAAAGTCAGGATCTTAAAAATTGAGAAAAAGACAATTAATCTTATTCTGCATTTATTACTTACAATGATGCTGAGTTATATACCATTAAATGATGCAGGAATCTGCCTAAAAACCCACATTAGGGGAAATTACATGCTTAAATCAATACTGCATAATATTAAGGCTGAAATGTTAATTCACGTAACATAACGTTATTACTACAGAGTTTTTATCAATACAAAACAAATCGTTTTATAAACCTTCCAATGCCTGTCTTCCCTCTAATAATCACATACGAATCTTACTTTTTATCTCTAACTCCATAATTGGACAATAGATGGTTTTGTAAAATATATCCGCAGATAATTCAAGGTTTGGGTAAACTTCCACCTATTCTAGATACAACTATTTTCATCTGATTTAAGATTCTGTAAACTGTTGAAACACAATTTTCAACTCAAATATTGGCAGCACACAGTTAAGATATAAAACTTAAGGCTCCTCTCCTCTGCAGGCTACAGTCTCCTTTTCATCAAATCTTTACCCTAACTTTTCATACCACTTTGGCTTTTAAGGCCCCCAGATTCTTCTGTGTCTGCTCAGCACCCCGTCTCCTGGCTTCCCCTCCGCCCACAGCAGGCCCAGGTATCAGTCCATCATCTCTGCACACGAATGTCGGGGAAGCTTGACTTCTCAGGAGCCCCCGAGGAGTCCTTGGACGTGAGAAACCCCCAATGGCGGTCTCCCTCCCATGTCCTGGAATTGATTTTGAGAAGACAGGCGTGCAGCCACAGGATAGGAAGGTCGGCCGCATTGGAGGGCTTGTGAGAAATTTCTCCTCAATAATAACAGAGACAAAGCAGGTAGAGTTTTCCTGGTTCATGTCACGTCCTGTTCCTGTTGGGCCCTTTGGGACCACGTGCCGTGACCCTGCGATGTTGGCAGGTGAGCTCACGATGAGCAGAACGGGGACCTGGAGAAGTGGGAGTCCTTACCTGTGTCTCCGGGGCTCTGCAGCGACCGACGCTGGAGTCTCACTGCCCTGAGGGTTTTTGCTTTTTAAACAATACACGTCCTTCTAGTCTCAGCCACTTTGAACTGGAGTTTTCTGTTATTTATGAGTGGAGGTTTCAAAGCCTATCATTTATTTTAGAGACATGTGATGCCAAATTTAAAAGATGAGTCTGAAATTTAATTTTATTTGACTACTATGATGATGTTAGTTATAAATTTAAAATTTTATAAAGTTAGAAATACAGGGTGGGGCAAAAGTAGGTTTATAATTATGAGTGCGGGAAACACAGTTTATGTCTGTATTATTATTTATCTGTGATTATGTCATTTTCCACACTAACAACAGTAACCCTGCTTTTGCCCCACCCTGTATTTTTCCAGCACTGCTCAGCGGTCGTCTAGGGCTGAGATCAGAAAGGACGGTGCTCTTTCTAGAGGGGTTAGTTCTGGATGCTAGGACTGTGTGCGCGTGTACATCCGTGGGCACCTGAGTGTGCGTCTCCGTGTGCCTGTGAGCGTGGATGCGCTAAACCCAAGGCTGCAGGCCGACGGTGCTCGTTACAGGTAGTCGTCTGTGTACCTGTTAAACCATAACATGCACGGATCTGCTGAACCGAAGGCCTGGGTCAGCCGTCCTGCAATTCAGTTACATCGTCTGCTATGTAGACTCAGTTTATTACGGGACGTGATTAGAAAGTGGTCATAAATTTGGCATCAAGATACAGATTCCTCTGTATAACTCTTTTTAAAAGTGTTTTTTTACCTTTCTGGAAAAAGTAAAAAAGAAAGAAGAACCTGTGTGCAGTTTCCATGAAAGAAGCCGGAATGAGGACAACAGTGTTACTCAGGATTAGGACACCCCAGTAGGGTTTTTCCCCATCATCTAAATCAATAGGCATTAGGCTATTCTTTCAAGCCCAGTATATTTAATATCTACTGTACCTAAAACAGAAGCATGCTTTGTGCAGAATTACTCAGACTGGCTGTCACCACAGGGCAGTTCTGTTGATACTGAAGTGACCATCCACATGCTCCCCTATTTTGCATCCAGCTTGCCCACCTCAGTTATCCAGGTTCTTTATTATTCATTGTGGTCTTTTCGCTGTTTTGAGTGATGCTTAATAGTCATTATCCCTGGTCGCTCTCTCCTTTCCGTTAGAATGTTTCAGCCTCATGTGGCTGGCCCTACGGTCGTGTGGAGGTGGGGCTGGTTTTCCATTTTCCACTGAAAGCGAACATTTGTCATTTTCTAACTCATGCCAGACAATGCCGAGAGAAACGCCAGTTCTGGGAATTGAACATTTATTTTTGTCTTGTATTAATGGTGAGAGCTCTGATAGTTTATAAAAAAAATTAGGAAAAAATCGTTTCTGCAATTCCATTTGAATTAGCCACCAGTCATATCACCATCACCGTAACTAATGGCCCATACGACCCTCGGAAGCAAACAAAAATAAACAACACAGCGATGTTTAATAACAGCCTGCACCGAATGTAAGAACACAAAAGGTCAGTGTATTGCCCAGGTGTTCAAGGGCAACGACAAACTATTACATAGAGTCACAGCAAAGGTGACTGAGTGACTTGTCTTCGGTTCTAGACCTGCCACCTGCCTCGCCCTCCCCCCGCCCCAGTCTACTCTCCACTAAGCAACTTGAATACAGTTTTAAAAATATAAATTTAAATCTAACCATGCTACCCATCTGGCTTTCCACCACGATGAGCCCCGTGTTCATGGCCCGGGCCCCCCGCCGCCCCCGCCGTCCCCTCTCCGGGCGCAGGGCAGCTCGGCGCTTTGAACGCCAGGCCCGTCTGTCCGCAGCGTCTTTCCCCGGGGCCTTTGCGGAGCCGCGTCTTTCTCAGTCTTCGGTTCTCCGGCCAAGTGTCAAGTTCTCAGAGAGGCCTTCCTGGGTGACCGGCCGGGCGGTGGCAGTTTTATTGCAGTGGCCTGTGGTCTGGCCGTCTGTCTCCATTTTGTTGACCGTAATCGCCCACTAGACGGAAAGACTCACGTTCCCCATCCCCACCACCCTGTCCACGCCTACAGCTGGCGGAAAGGACGACACTGAGCATTTCAAAGGGGTCTCTTCCCTAAGGGAAGGGGACACCGACTCCAAACAGAGCGGGAGAGCCGCGCACGAGGAACAGACACGCGACGGGGGCCATCTCTCCCTCAGCTTCGCGGATGCCGACCATTCGCCCCCATTGCAACTCGGGCAGAAAAAGCACTTTCAGTAGTTTTATTGAGACAGTATGATTGCAACACTATTTTGAAACAATAACTTGCTCGAAAAGTACTGTTTCCGATGTCATCCTCAGCTCTTGAAAAGTGACCTGAGTCGACTATGGCGCGGCTCCCCGGGCCTGCGTCAGCAGCTTTCTCACTGCCAGTCTGAAGCAGTAACAAACATTTGTTGGATTTTAAAGAGCTCATCATACTTATGTTTGAAAAATTCAGCTCTTTTTCTTTAGTGATTGATCTCAAAATGAGGCTACAACGGAGCTAGGGCTCGGTCAATGGGACCACTCAGAATTAGACCGTTCGGAAACGCTGCGCCGTGTCACACACACGGAGTTACATTTGACATCCAGAAGCCGGGGGAAGAAAAGGCTGTTTGATGCTTCTGTTTCTGATTTAGAATTTTGTCGTTTCCTTTGGAGGAGATTCTCCACTTCCACGGGGCAGAGGACTCTGCTCTGCGAATTTCTGTTCAGCATCTTTAGAGGAGAAGCGGTGCCGCCGAGCTGAGGAAGCAGATCTTGTACTTTCCTTTTAAAAGCCTGCAAAGCGTCTTTCACATGAAAACACATACACAGCCCGGCCGGCCAGGCTCGGTGGTTGAGCATCGACCTAGGATCCAGACCGCGGTTCGATTCCCGGTCAGGGCACAGGCCCGGGTTGCGGGCTCGATGCCCAGTCGGGGGCGTGCAGGAGGCAGCCGGTCAATGACTCTCTCATCATTGATGTTTCTCTCTCCCTCTCCCTTCCTCTCTCTGAAATCAAGAAAGATACATTTAAAACAAAACAAAAACACATACATGCTTTTTCATGTGCATGATGAAATAATAAATGTTAACATAATAATTGTCTAAGTATGTAACGACATTTCAAAATTATAGCAAATAATTATTCTATATTATTTCTGTACGGAGGAAGTTTTCTGGAAAAAGTAATATTGCAAAACAAAGCAAAAAGAAATAAATAAAGGCTTAAACTTGTTTGTCACGCCTCCCACACTAAAAATGATAAGGTGGCCGGAACATCTTACAGAGGAGGGGAGTGTGTTGCACTGGCTGGAGAATCTCAGATTCTCGGGACTCACATCAAACGGCCCCGGTTGCTGAACGGCCGCCGGGTGACAGTCGGGGGGAAACACACGCAGCCGGACATGCTCGCTGGCCACGCAGTCGCACTCGGAGCTTCAGTTTCAGGCGAAGCAAAAGACGGAGTTAGCAGCCTGTCCGCAGCACGCCGCCTAACGGACAGACAGACGTGCAGACGCGGTCGAGCTGGCTGACTTTGAGTTCGTCCAGCTTCGGCGCCGAGCGGTCACCCAGCGCCGCGTTCACGCGGGTGCTCGGCGACAGGTGCGAGAGTGACGCAGCACCCAAGTCGCTGGATCACTGGAATCTCATGACCGATCGAGGACATCTGTGTTGACGGTGCAGAGTCAATGGTGAATGAAACTGCTGACGCCTGAACACAACTCGAGAAAACGGCGCCCGACTCCGCCGTCAACATTCTCCGCATAACTTCCCCCGCGCATGGGGGGGGGGTGGAGGACGGTTTTGCTGAAAAGCCTCCTTGAGGGGCCTGGCCCAGCAGCTCAAGCTCAGTGCTCAGGGCGTCGGCCGGATGCGCCAAGGCTGCAGGTTCAATCCCCGGTCAGGGCACATACGCGAATCAACCAGTGAAGGCAGAAATAAGTGGAACCACAAATCGATGTTCCTCTCTCCCTCTCCCTCTCTCTTTAAATCAATTTTTAAAAAGTCTCCTTGATGAAGCACTAAAAATTAC